GGCACTGTAGATTTGTGGAACCTCTTCTATAGAAGAGGTTAGAATTGGCAGGAATGCACCCCTGGCCCACACCCACTCAGTCATATGACACACACCCCACCAAGCCACAGCCATAGGAAAAGGTAGGAAATTTTTTAGGATTTCTCCCTATCTACCCCTGCCCTCCCTTTGCCAGTTGCCCCCGTTTCCCCTCCTTTAACGACCCCGGCCCTAGCCCCACTTCCTCCCACACCACTGCCTCTTTGGTTGCTTACCTTCAGTGGTGGCTGTTCCAGAGTCTGGAAGGCAAGCTGACTGGAGTCTTCAGCAGCCTGCATCCAGCCGCTGCTGCTGGGAAGTGACTGGCAGGCAAAGAAGCCTCCTAGCTGTAAGGCAATGGGATGCGCATGTGTGAAGAACATGGTGGCAATGGCAGCAGCTTTTGCGCCGACCGGAGGACTGCGGCCAGCTGCTACCTCTTTGAGAGGTAGTATGCAAAGCAACAGGGTGAGCGGTAGTATGCTCTTTGAGAGTCAGTATGCAAAGCAACAGGGTGAGCGAGCGGCGACCAGGCAGGCGGGGTGAGCAAGCGGCAACAGGGGGACTAGTTCAAGGGCGTGGCCAGCCAGCCATCACTACCGGTTCACCGAACTGGGCAAAATTTCTGCCACCAGTTCAGGTGAGCCAGTGCGAACTGGCTGAATACCACCTCTTTGCCATACCCGTCTGAGAGAACAAACAAGACATCTGAGGAAAATGAACATATATTTTTTATGGCAGAAACCTAGTGTGTTAACAGTCTGCAGAATTCCCCATGACTGGCCACAGTGTTGAAACTTACAGGTGCCATAGCTCAAAATCCATTTTCCATGCTTAACTCTATAAAATGAGGTAAAATTTGCAGTCCAGTATAAGGACACTGTGTGAGTTCCCCTGCTTTGCATCATTGTTTTCCAACCCTTTCTTTTGGCCAACACAAGTCAAGTATCTCTTAGGTGAATTGTTGGGTTTCGTTGACTGCCACTGGAGCTGGTAGTTGAGTCAGATGAGTCAGAGGACATGGAGAGGGTGCCTGGGTTACCATCGGGCCCTGCAGAAGGCTCTAAGGAGCAGAAGGTCTCACAGCCAGATACAGAGCAGGGCCTATCTACTCACGCTCAGGTGGAGAGACAGCTATTTTCAGGGGTTGAGCTGAGTGAGGGGGAGGAGCAGCTGCACCCTGTCCTAGATGCGAGTATGCACAGAGAAGTGTGGAGTGGAGAACTGAGGTTGGAGACAACCGTTCATGCTCCAGAAGAATTCCCTCCAGCAGATCCCTTGCTAGGATTTCCTTGCTGTTATCCAGGTTGGTCAGAACTCTTCGTGTTGGATTCAAGTACTAACCGAGGCTCCCTTCAGGGAACTCAGAGACTGCTGCAGCTTGTGAATCACCTAAGGGTGTGTGACCCAGAGCTTTGTCAGTGAATGCCATGTATTGCTGCCTTTCTAAATAAAAAGGGGTAGGCTGTTGAGTGTGGCTCATGAAGGCTGCATCAGAACCCCTATTAATGCTTTGTCTTTCTTCTCCCTGTTGTCTTCCTTCCAGGCATGGCTACAACTTTGTGGTGCTCCTCCCAGCTGGTGCCTCCAGCATTGACATCCGTCAGAGAGGCTACAAGGGTCTGATTAGTGATGACAATTACCTGGCCTTGAAGAATGCACACGGCAAATACCTTCTGAATGGACATTTCATTGTCTCCGCGGTGGAAAGGGACTTAATAGTCAAGGGCAGCGTGATTCGCTATAGTGGAACAAGTACAGCAGTGGAAAGCCTCCAAGCCTTTATGCCCATCCAGGAACCCCTGACGGTGGAAGTGCTATCAGTTGGGAAGATGACGCCACCTCGAGTACGCTACTCCTTCTACCTGCCCAAAGAAAGCAAAGAGGACAAGTCTTCCTACCACCGTAAAGATGGGAAGCGTCCTCCCGTCCTCAACAACAGTATTCTCAGCCTGTCCAACCGCCTGGACCTGGGTCAGCTGGATTACAAACGCCCCGCTTACAAGTGGGCTACCACCAACTGGGAAGACTGTTCGGTCACTTGTGGCAACGGTCTGCAGAAACGCATGGTTTTGTGTCGCGATGCCCTGGGCCAGCTGGCTTCCTCTTGCGATGCCACTCAGAGGCCTGTTGACATCAGGATATGCGGAGATCCTTGCCCAACGTGGGAGGCGTCTCCCTGGTCCTCGTGCTCCAAAACTTGTGGCAGGGGTTTTAAAAGGCGCATACTGAGATGCACAGGGCGGGGTGGTACCCTCCTGCCCCGTGAACGCTGCAACCTCAGGAAGAAACCGCAGGAGTTGGACTTTTGCACCCTGAGACCTTGCTGACCGGGCGGTCTCCACAATTGACCAAAGTCAAATGTGCTACTTTCTGAACTCTCGGTGATCAAGTGGCTGAAAGTGTAAAAAAAATGGCCTCTGGGGGGAGGGAGTGGGATCCAGCTGTGTCGAAGGAGGTCCGTTACGTAGTGCATTTTGACCAAGAACATTCTAAGAGGGGAGACGAAGAGTACCAATAAGAAGGGGGCTTGACAGAGGTTTTGACCATCCAGTCACTTAGTGGTAAAGCAGAAGTAAACAACTACCTCGAAATTGCCCAAACCTCCTAGAAGTTATCACCATTCAGCCATGTATTCTGTGGCCCCGAAGGAGAAGGCAAGGCCAGAAACTGAATATCAGAACTATCTTGAGATGGACCAAAGATAAAGAAGGTGATTCCTTAGAGCCGTGGCTCTAAATCCTTTCCAAAAATCATAAAAAAAGATCTAAAATATAAAAGGGACTCTTAGGACCACCCACCTCCTTCAACTCCTAGGGTTATAGTGGACCATAAGGAAGTACCATTGAGCCTAGAAGGAAAGAATTGTAAGACTTCTATGAGTATAACATGGTACCCTTAAGAAAGAACGTGATATCCTAGCTCGGATGGAATTGCAAGTCTCTAGACACACATGGGGTTCATTCTTCCGTACAGGACTAATAACCAGTCACTGATTGGTAGCTACCAATTAATATTTTAAGAGCAATGTGCATTTTAATGGTGCTGGACCAAATTGCCTCTGAAGGGTTGGCTTTGCCTGCTTCTTATGGTTCGTGCCAAGAGATCTACCATGTTGGGTAAGGTGGAGCTGCATCTTATTTTCCTGTTCCTTAGTTTGAATAGGGATGTCTCTTTCTACTTTTCTTCCTTGCTTTTGTTATTTAAGCCCACGTATTCTCCAGGGTCACTGTTTCATGTTAGAATTCTCCAATCCAGAGTACATCTTCAAAATACGTGCAAACACCTGAACATTGGAGTTTGGATTCAGGCCAGGCTAACTTTGTCCTTTTTATGAAAAAAAGAAAAGAAAAGGGGATGAACTTAATGCTCCCAGAATGGTTCTGCTGGAGCACTTGAACATGATCAGAAAGCAAGAGAGAAAGTATTGTTGTAACTAATACCCAACTAATCAAGGAGAGAACCAACCTAGAACCAAGGAGAAATTTCCTGACAATTAGAACAATTAATCAGTGGAACGACTTGCCTCCAGAAGTTGTGAATGCTCCAACACTGGAGGGTTTAAAGAAAAGATTGGACAACCATTTGTCTGAAGTGGTATAGGGCTTCTTGCATGAGCAGGGGGTTAGACTAGAAGACCCCCAAGGTCCCTTCCAACTCTTGTTATTGGGTTAGATTGAGCAACAGTCTTATCTGTAATAGTGAGGCCTCCTCTGTTGTCCTGCACTGAAAACCTATTATGGTGATATTGCACCTTAATGTTTTCTATACAAATTCTATACACTAAAATTGAATTGTTGGAATAGCTGTTGTTTTTCCACCTGGGAGCATGTAAAAAAATATAGATCCCATCTCATGAAAAGCAGACTATTCCTTAATATTATAGATAGCCTCAAGTGTAGTATTTGGTCCATACCTTCCCATAAGATAGACCAGGTGGGAATGCAATCCTATAGCTCATCCTAAGGCAAAGCAGGGCAAAAAAAACGATACATGAAGTAAAACACTATCCTGAGTCAAGGTCCTTGATTTTGTAATCTTAGGGTTTTGGTTTAGGATGCAGTTTCTACATCTTTCTTTGGGGACACTAGACAATATTTTTAGGCCAGGGGTCAGCAACCTTAAACACTCAAAGAGCCACAAAGGTCCTAACCGGAAGCCCCCTATTCAATTCAGGAGCCGACCGGAAGTCCGGTTTCCCCCACCATAGAGTCTCCTCCTAGCATGGCATCCTTTTTCCTCTGCCAAACAGAAGTCTGGTTCCCCCACCATAGAGTCTTCTAGCACAGTGTCCTTTTTCCTTTTACCCACTGGCCTTCCCCCGAAATAATCACAGGCTTCTTTTTCAGCCACATGTAGCAAAGAGAGGAACTAGGTTTTTTTCGAAATGGTGCTGCAGATACAAGGTTTTTTTTGTTCTATTTTTGAATAGGATTTCTATTTACCCCCCCCCCCAAAAAAAAATAGGACCGTTCCTCTCTCAACTTCAAGAATGTTTACAAGGTTTTTTTTTGTTTTTAAAAGTGTGTTATACTCACAAAATCACGAGCAAAGATAACGGGGGCTTATGTTCTATGAAGCTGTAACCTGTTGAAATGGCTCCATGGAGACCTACACATGCACACAGACACACAGACACACAGACACACACACAGACACACACACAGACACACACACACACACACACACACACACACACACTTAGACTTTTGATGAGAGGACTTCTCTTGACCTTGAGATGGTAGGAAGAAGAATTATGAAGACTCATTGGCCAATAGTGTAGTGTGTAGAACGCTGAATTATCTGGACTGGAGAGAATTGTTTTTGCTATCCTTCGTCTCTAGTGGTACTGTAATGCCAAGGCGCTTGACTGCTGTTATTTGTCAACTTTTGTATAGAATTTAGTTAATAAAGTTCTGAAGGGCTCTAAAATAAATCTGTCCAGTCCAAACCAGAAATTTCTCATGCTTCCAACACATAATTTTTATCTGAAAGCTTTCCTATCGAAAATATCAACCCTGTTACATTTAAGAAGATCTTTGATATTTTATCAATTTAATTACCATTTTCAGAGTGAATTCAGCTACTTTTTAAAAAGTTAACTATCTAATTTTACTAAAAAAAAATGTGTCATGTACTTGAGCAAGATTGCCATTGGTGCAGTTCATTGCTCTTGTTCCCAGTTTTTTTGACAGCTAAATAACAACAACAATAATAATATATGTTTTTTGGTATGGGTAGGTCAGTGGTGGGATTCAAATAATTTAACAACCGGTTCTCTGCCCTAATGACTATCTGGGTAGGTGGGGCTCGGTGGTCATGTGACTAGGTGGCCTTGGCCAACTCAAGGTCACTCAGGTTGATGGGCGCTTCACCTTAGCTGTTACAATGTAATAAGGGTTAACCGGAGAGGCAGTTTCTATAAGCAGGGCAATAAAGATTAGGCTAGAAACAACACTAGAATGTTTCCTTCCTGCCTTCCTTACAGGATTAGCCCTATAAAGTGGAAAACAACAAAAGGAGATTTCTTCCAACAACCGGTTCTCTGAACTACTTAGAAAGTTACCAACCGGTTCTCCCGAATAGGTGCGAACTGGCTGAATCCCACCACTGGGATAGGTCCTTGAGTAGGTTAATAATTCCAGCACGTCTCTAGAGATGAGAAATTCCAGAAAGTGCAATCTGCCCGATGCAAACGTCGCTAAATAGGAAAGTTAGGTTGTGTAACAGGTTGGCTTTAAAACCCATTTCGGAGCTTTTTTAAATTATTTAGATGTCACTTGTCAAATTTGCAGCTGGTCTTGGTCACCATTACTTGGTTTTTCAATTGGCTCATGGGGAATAATCAATCATGGTCTGTCTCTATGTGTCATGCTGGTTATGACACACTTCCATGTTCGAAGGAAGCATGAGTCACTGGATATTTATGGGAACATGGGGCTGTGGAACCAGTTGGGTGGTGGACGTGTTCCAGTATGGCTGTTCTGAAGCGCTGCGCGTCAGATGCTAAAGAACAATGTCAAAGATTTCTGAGGCCTAACTAATCTTCCAGATAGCTGTATTGGCTCCCGCCAGCTCATAAAAATCCACACTTCCTCTTATTGTCAGGTCAGTTTCTGGTTTTGATTACACCACAGGCTTTTGTCCATTTTAATTTTTTTACGATCCTGCCAAGGCTTTCTCTACGCGATTCCGGAGCCGGTAGGGTAAAGAGACATTATGAAATCCATGGCTCCCATTTATTTAGAGAAAAGGGGATGACTAAATCCATTTAATTCTATGGTGTACGATTATCTACGTCTCTAAGGGAAGCAAGCGACAGACAGTGGAAGGCGACCGTCTTCCGCCTATAAATATGGCGTGCGTATTTGTGTTTGTGTGTATGTGAACTGTTTAAGAATCCTAGGAATTGTAGTTTGGCAAGGATAATGAGAAATGTCAGTAAAACGTTACAGTTCTCAACACAAACAGCTATGTTTCCCAAGTTCCCTTGGGGAGAAGAAACAGCTGTTCAGCTAATTTAGGTTTCTAGTTATGTCCACCAACTCAACTGTTTTGTCTTTCCTTGTCCCAAAAGCTTTGCAGATGTGTGTTTATTTAGGGGGAAGAGGTTCAAATGCTAAACGATTTCTGCACACACATACCCGGCCTAGTATACATCTGAAACACGATGTAATTATTGTTTGCAGAGGGATCTTGTTTCTTTCTTTAGATTGATAAATGGGTCAGTGTCAAAAGATTTTGTGCTCTTGTTACTCATCTAGCAAAAATGTAGATATCTATTTTCCCTGGTTAAGATGAGTTGTGATTACATTCCATTGTCTGTGGAAATCCTCAGTCATGGTTGTCCCAAAGGTGCTTTTTTTCAAAAGGCAACTGAACTTTGTTTTTTTTCCCCCCATGAAGACATTTTGCTTCTCATCCAAGAAGCTTCTTCAATTCTGACTTGAACTGAAGAAGCTTCTTGGAGCTTCAAGGAAAAAAAGTCCAGTTGCCTTTCAAAGAAAGCATCTTTGGGACATTCCATTCCATTGAATTCTGAAATTTGGAATTGAAGAGTCTTAGACTTATCCAAAGATTTTCAGAATACCTTAAATATAAAAAAAAAAATAGGAGGGAATATCCTACAATATATAGGGAATGCAAATATAGATTAAGCGCAGACCTCAAGCAGAATGTTGATTCCTTGAAGATGGATCTGATTGGATGTCTTTCAAGATTTCTCTTCCCCCTTTATTCATGGATTGGCCTATCGTGTTTCTCAGAGCCTTGCCTTAAACTTTTCACTTCCACAACAGTTGAGTCTCGCAAACTATACAGCACTGAAATCCTTGTTTTGGATCTGGTGACGTTGGGGGACAGAAGGGCTTTTAATTGTATGTGGGTTTTTAATAGTTCTTTTGCAAACTATACAGCAAAAGGATGGAAATGCCTATGGTACTGGGTGCTTGGTGTATACCATGTATACTATATGTCAGTTTTCTGCTATTTGTGTGTCAGTGGCAAACCTGAAATAAAAATGGTTAAATATTTAAAGAGTTTTGGTCTTTTGTGATCTGATTTGAATCCTGGTTTCAATAATCCCATCAGCTTTAAGTTGTAATATGACCTTATTGCTCAACTTATGAAAGTTATTTTCAGTGTACTGGAGGAAGGATGGAGTCACAAGGGGTCTGGTAACCCCCTTTTTAAAGTAATAATTTTTTATTAAAAGGCATTTCGCTTCCAGGAAATTGTGAGTTCTAGTCCTGCCTTAGACACGAAGCCAGGTGGGTGATTTGTGGCCAGTCACTACCTCTCAGCTGTGCGAAGGAGGCAATGTCAAACTCCTTCTCAAAATCCTTACCAAGAAAACATCTGGGATTAAGTCCAGGCAATTGCCAGAAGTCAAATCTGGCTTGAAGACTCTCTCCTTGTTGCAAATCTAGTGCAACTACTTTGCTCTGTGGACCAAGGTGTAGGATGCCATGTGTCACATCAAAAGCCCTTCTATTCATTCAGTGGACTGCCAACGGTCCAATGAGAATGCTACATTCTCATTTCTTTTCTTCGGATGATAAATATTTAAATTTTTAAAATTTTAATTTTTTTAAAAAAATTGTTGAAAGATGTTGAATAGAAATGCTCTAAATGTATAAATGATCACGACTGATGCTAAAACTGTATAAGGAGATATTGAAAAATGGAAGAACAAAGGATGGAACTTTGATTAAATTAAGGAAATATGAACCACAAAATAGGTGGAAACACATGTTTGAATATTATAGCGATATGAAAAGGGGAAAAGGTTAGAATAGGGATAGAAAATAGTGGGGGGGGGAATTAATAATTATATATTAATATGTTAAGATAAATAAAAAGACAGAAAGATGGTTCAGAAAGGAAGGGTGATAATAAAAGACATGTATAAAATATAACAATGGAAATGAAATGTAATATTTACTGCAGGAATAATAAGACTATGTTTATGGGTACTGAAATGTACGTTATCCAGTTATCACACCAT